CAGATAATAGTATGTGTTATGATTCAGTCATTGTAAACCTTCTGAGGACTATTTAGATGTCGTGTGTGACAAGGCTTGATGTGTGGTTCATGGGTAGACCTATATGGATGTGTGTTCTGTATCGCAACGGCTTTGTTGACTTCGAGTTGCCAATGATGAGGGATGTGTTGGTTCGGTTGTTATTGAGCTGTTAGTAATCAGGGGTATCTATGAGTTATCTTTCCGTATTGCGAGGTGTTAAGGCTTGTTAGTTATAGGCACATGTGGTGCGGTGTTATTGGGTCCTTTCAGTGGAATTCAAGTGGGCAGTGTATCGGTTGTATCCCTTCGGGTATGTGTAATGTATGTCAATTGCTTCGCGGTGGGTATGATGATTGCTTTGGTTTTGACATCATATTGCGCATGGTTGTCAATTTTGAGCATAGTGACTTGATGTGTTTCATGTGGACTAGCGTTTGGATGAGGTCGCGCATTGGAGCGAAACTATGTGGATGTATGACCCTGCGAGTTAGATTCGTGTGTTCTGTTTCTATGATGGGACACGGGTTCTCAGTCTTGTGTTGTGGTGGTACTAGTGAGCTTGCAGTACAGCGCTTTCATTTGAGTCATTTTCATGATTTGAGTAAGCTTGGATTGTGGCTTATTGGTGCATGCATTGCACAAGTCGTGGCTTTAGTTTGTATTGATGTGTCAATGTCACCAGAGTAGTTGTGTTGGATTAGATGAGAGCGTCGAGATCTTTAATCAATACAAACAAATTCGATTCCAGCATGTTGGAAGGATAATATCGAGGTTCAGCTCAGAAATTTGCTATGGTCTTTGCCAAAGGAGAAGTGGCTTCATGAATGGTTGATCTGAGGAATGGTTATGGCCTACTATGTTGTTTATTTATCATTGGCAGTATATGAAAGTGTTGGAATGAGACTTTAGTGGATAAGGGGTTTTCCACCGGTATTCGGTTGTTGTGTGCAGTGATTGTGATTAGAAGTTATCGCTACAAGTGGTTGAGGTATGTGGTATATCATGTGATGGCACCTGAGGGTGCAGGTATGGGTTATTACAGCTAGTTCGGGCTTATTCAGAGTGTGGATGTGAGATTTTGATCTTGCGGATGATTTCAGGAGTGAAAATATGGTTCTAAGATTAATGGGCTAGGATGGATTGTGAACTTTCAGTTGCATTGTGTTATCGGGCCTATATGAGATAGGGTGACGTGGGATCACCCCCCAAGTATATGCATGGTAAGGTTATTCAGCGATTGGCTGGCTTTTGGGACAACTCTGGTCACGTTCGAGGATGAACGTGTGTTTAAGTGGGGGAGGATGTAACGACCCGACCGGTCATTTTGGGCTTTTGCACTTTGTTCGTCAATTCTCGGGCATGACTTGCCTCGCATGATGTATTATGACTTATGTAGATCGTTGGTTTTGGTTTTCAGGGAAATCGGAATGAATTTGGAAGAACGGTTCTCAGTTTGTAGCATGAAATTTGAAAGGTTTGACCAAGATTTGACTTATTTGTATATAATCTCGGATCAGAATTTTTATGATTTGGTTAGCTCCGTTGGGTGATTTGGAACTTAGGAGCATGATCAGAATGCATTTTGGAAGTCCGTGGAAGGTTTAGTCTTGAATTGGTGAAATTGAGATTTCGGGGTTTCCGGTTGATTGGTGAGATTTTGATATATAGGTCGCAATGAAATTCCGAGAGTTGAAATAGCTTCGTTGTGTCATTTGGGATATGTGTGTAAAATTTCAGGTCATTCGGACGTGGTTTGGTTGGGTTTTTTATCAAAAACAGGATTCAGAAGATTTTTAAAAAGTTAGGCTTGAATCTGATGTGTCCTGGTTGATTTGATGTTGTTTCAGGTGTTTTGAAGGTTGGTACAAGTTTGTATGAGGTATTGGGTTATGTTTGTGCTTTTGATTGAGGTCCCGGGGGTCTCGGGATGATTTCCGATGGTTGTCGAAAGAGTTTGAGATTTTGAGAAGTTGCAGATTTTACTGCTTCTAGTGTTTCTGCACCTGCAGATTGGGGACCGCAGGTGCGATGCCGCAGATGCGGAAATGGTGATCGTAGAAGCGGATAAATGACTGGGAGGCAGGAACCGCAGATGCGGTTGTGGGATCGCACCTGCGAAGGCGCAGAAGCGAAATTGGCATTGCAGATGCAGTTTTGGCTGAGTTAAGTGAAAGCCACAGAAGCGGCTCATTGGCCGCAAATGCGGTACCGCGGATGCAGCTGAATCACCGCAGATGCGGAAATGACTGGGGTTAGAATGTTATATTTTCTCCTTCGCGATTTTTAGAGAGTTTCACCATATTTCATTCGGGAGAAAGCTTGGGAGAGCTAATTGAAGAGGGAATTCAAGAGGAATTCGTGGAGGTAAAATTTTGGACCCTAAACTTGTTTCTATGATGAATTTTAACATTTTGAGCTTGAAATTATGGGAAATCAGTAGCAAAATTGGGGAAATTAGGGCTTGAAATTGGAGAGTTAAATTGGGAATTTGAGGGGCCATTTGAGGTTCGATTTTGATGTTCTTGGTATGTATAGACTCGTGAGATGATGAAGATTCCATTGATGTTAATTTTATCGAGTTCCGAGACGTGGGCCCGAGGGACGGTTTGGAGCAATTTCGTGATTTTTTATGCAAATTGGATATTTTCGAGTGGGCTTTATTCCTTTAGCGTATTCTAATGGTTATGTACTGATTGTGGCTAGACTCGGAGCATCCGGAGGTCAATTTGTGAGGGCAAAGGCATCGCGGGCTAGAGTTTGGACCGGATCGAGGTAAGTAATGATTGTAAATACTGTCCTGAGGGTTTGAACTCCCGGATTACACATCGTTGTATTGCTTTGAGGTGACGAACATGCTAGATGACGAGCGTGGAGTTGTGCAGCGTTGGGGATTGTGACTTGGTCCGTCCCGTACGACTGTTAAGTCGCGTATTTGATTTGAAATCTTATGATATTCCATGTTCTAGTGATTTATATTATATTTTGGGTTGTATGCTATGTTTGGGGCCTTGTGGCGACCTGCTGAGACCCTTAGGGGCACTTTCACTATTCTTCCTCACTCTATTTGTCTTGAAAGTATGTTCTCAGTCGTGTTTTACCTGTTATCGTTTAAATCTGGTTTTATCACATTACTTCTTTAAATATGAAAACTATTTGGGCTGATTTCGCTTAATTACTGATAGATCGAGAGTCTGATTGTAAGGTTAATGATTGAGGTAGAACGAGAGTCAGATTGGGAGGTTAATGACTAAGAGAGGCCGAGGGCCTGGTTGTGAGGATTATATATTTATGGATCGGGCTACCCATCGCAGAAATATATGTATATATGTACACGGATTGGGATACATGCCGTAGCGATATAGAGCTTGGGCTGTAGGATCCCCTCCGGAGTCTGCACACCCCCAGTGAGCGCCGTCGACGAGATATATGGATCAGGCTGCACACCGCAGCGATATATGGATCGGGTTGCGTGCTACAGCGGTTACTATATGGTACCTATTGAGCGTGAGTGCTGAGCGTGAGCGCTGATTTAGTAAGAGTTGAGTCACGAGTGACTGAGAGACTAGCTCGAGGGGCAATAGATGTATACATGCACATGAGTGATGCTTTGCCTGAGGGGCCTATTTATGAACTTATTGATTTTACTCCTCTTTAAGTAAGTTTCTATCGAATATGTTGATATATTGACTGCTTTCACTCATCTTTATACTAAGCCTCTGTCGAAACGTTGAATAAATATTTTTTTTAAAACAACTTTCATTTAAGCTCGGGTCTATGAGATGTTCAGAACTTAATCACTGATTCGCCTTCTGTTATTTTCACTGGGATTTTCTTGCTATAAAGTATTTATGACACCTGGTTTGCCCGAGGGGCCGTTTACGAACTATGTTTTGCCCGAGGGGCCGATTATGGTTTTCATCTCTTTTATTATAAATGGTATTGTACCCCTATTGAAACTGCTGGAAGGTATTTTAATAATTTTTACCAAAAGCTGGATTTTAAATGAGACGATTGACTCGTATTCTGATTTGAAAGACTGTTGTGCTTATTGAGTTTATCATAACTGTGGATTCATCATTTCCTACTGCTCAGTCTTTATTTACTCTTATTACTTACTGGGTTGGAGTACTCACATTACTCTCTGCACCTCGTGTGCAGATTCAGGTATTTCGGAACCCGATAGCGGGTGTTGGTTGCTCAAACGCGGAGTCATCAGAGTTAGCAAGGTGGTTGCACGACGTTCGCAACACTGCTTCCTTCCTCTCATTTTCATTTCTGTACTTAGTACATTTTGACTGATTTTGCTGTATTCAAACCTTGGTAGATGCTCATGGCTAGTGACACTCCGATGTCGGGCTTGTATGTTATTTCCACACTATTCATTCAGACTTACATTATGAAATATTGTTTAATTAAAGGCTTAAAATGACTCTTAATGATTAAAGAGTTAATCTGGGTGTTGTGTCGGCTGGCCTTGTCTTCACGAGGGCGTCATTACGACTAGGCCAGTTTGGGGTCGTGACAAAACCAATGTATTGTGACAAATGCCAAGCTATTGGCCATGTCTGTTCTACTCACCAAGAGCCTAAAGAGCAAAAGGAGGTTCAACCAAAGAAAGTCACTTATGAATGGAGAACTAAAGGACCAGTCACTAATGCTACAAGTAATTCAGAACCTGGGCACATAGAAGCAGAGGCAACTGGAGAGACAAAGTTAAATGAAATTTCCAAGGAAAGGCCTCAGCAGTATCCAACAGAGCAGTCACAACAAGCAAGTCAACACCAGTTGGCTAGAGATGCAGAGGGTTATGGAGTTGAAGCAATTGATAAAGGCAAGAAGCAAGTATTGAATTTCAGCCTTGAAAACTTTCCTATGTTAACACCTTTAGCTAGTAGAGGCAGTTTGAAAAGTGGAACAACAGGTGCTAGTGGAAGCTCTAACCTACCCCATGATAGATGTGGGGGATCTAAACTCAATCAATGAGATGGTTAATCTGGAATGTTAGGGGCATTAATAAGTGGCACAAAAGGAAGGAGCTGAAAAACTATCCAAAGAATAAAAACATTAGTTTAGCTGGGATCATTGAAACAAGAGTAAAGGAACACAATGCTAGAAGTGTCAGCCATCATATAGCCCCTGGGTGGGAGATGTTCAACAACTATAATGCTGCAATCAATGGAAGAATACGGTTACTATGGGATACTAATTATTACTCAGTCAGGGTGATTAAAGCAGAGGCGCATGTACTACATTATGTTGTCACAAATATCATAAATGATCATGAATATGCAGTGTCCATAGTTTATAGTTTTAATACAGTTGAACAAAGGAAACTGTTATGGGATAACTTGAAAGAGATAGAGCAAATGACATTCATACCATGGGTGATTGGGGGAGATTTTAATGCTGTTTTGCAACTACAAGATAGAATGCATGGAAATCTAGTTACTAAGGCTGAGACTCAAGATTTCAGCAAATGTATCCAAGACCTGAAGGTTAGTGAATTGACTTGGGAGGGTGATTATTATACGTGGTCCAACAAGCAAGGTGGTGGTGACAGGATATGGAGCAAAATTGATAGGATGTTTGGTGATTATAAATGGATGATGCAATGGGGTCATATATCCACCGTGTATGAACTACCATTTATTTCTGATCATGCTCCTATGACACTAACCTTCAATGATCAGCACAGAAGCAGGAAAATCCCTTTCAAATTTTTCAATATCTGGGCTGAGCATGAGAGGTTCAATTATGAAGTGCAGCAAATTTGGAAGCAAAGTTTTCACAGACAGAAGATGCAGAATGTGTGGATGAAAATAAAAGCACTAAGGCTAGTACTGAGAAAACTAAATGTGGAAGAGTTTAAGTTCATTAGACAAAAGATAGAGATAGCCAGAATTGAACTTGAACATGGCCAAAAAAGTATAGACACAAGTAGCTCCTCTGAGCTGTTACTGCAAGAAAAGGAATTGATTTAGAATTAGGAAAAATTGGATCTGATAGAAGAGGGAGCTCTGTAACAAAAATCCAGAACAAAATGGATACAACTAGGTGACTCTAATACTAAATATTTCTCAGCTATGATGAAAGAGAGGAGCCAAAGGAAGCAAATAGTGGAGTTGCATTCCAGCACTGGCAGCAGGATTACTGATTCAGAAAGCATCCAAAGGGAGATAGTAGAATTTTATAAATCACTAATGGGTACTGCTGCCCATTCATGCCCTGCTATAGACAAAAGGGTTATGTGTATGGGAACTAAAATTAATCAACAACAAAGGATTGAGTTATGCAGAGAGGTGACTCCAGAAGAGATCTATGAAGGATTATGCTATATTGACAATGACAAGGCCCCTGGTGTGGATGGTTATAATGTATATTTCTTCATAAAAAGCATGGCATGTTATTAAAGATGAAGTCACTGCAGCTATTATGGAGTTTTTTAGCATTGGGAATCTATACAGAGCTATAAATTGCACAGCCATAACCTTGGTCCCTAAGGTGTCTAAGCCTAAAACTGTGAAGGAGTTCAGACCTATAGCATGTTGCACTGTCCTCTACAAAATGATATCCAAGGTTCTAGAAGCAAGAATGCAAGGCATCATTAGAACAATTATTAATGAAGCATAAGCAGGGTTTATACCTGGGAGAAAGCTAGCAGACAATATCCTTTTGGCTCATGAACTGGTGAAGGCTTATACTAGGAAGAATATATCTCCTAGGTGCATGATAAAGATAGATCTCCAGAAAGCCTATGATTCTGTGGAGTGGCCTTATATGAAGTAAGTTATGGAAGAACTAGGATTCCCTCAACTATTCATATCTTGGGTTATGGAATGTGTTCAGACAATTAACTACTCTATTGTAGGTAATGGGGAATCAACTAAGCCCTTTAATGCTGCTAAAGGATTGAGGCAGGGAGATCTCATGTCTCCATTTTTGTTTGCCATAGCAATGGAGTATCTGAGTAGGAACTTGGCTAGTCTGAAGCAGGAGAGGGACTTTAAGTATCACCCTAGATGTCCAAAGCTTGGGATCACTTGCCTGAATTTTGCATATGATTTATTACTATTTGCCAGAGGTGATCTAAAGACAGTACAAGTGATGCAGCAAAAATTCTATCAATTCACTCAGGGTTCAGGTCTACAAGCAAACCTTAGTAAGAGTGAAGCTTACTTTGGAGGGGTTTCTTTGGTAGATAAACAACAAATTTTGTAGCTACTTGGGGATCTCAAATGGTGAAATTCCTTTTAAATATTTAAGGGTACCTCTATCTACAAAGAAACTAAGTATAATGCAGTGGCAACCACTTATTGACAAAATGACTACAAGGATTACTTCTTGGATTGCTAAGACTCTATCTTATGCAGGAAGAGTCCAGTTAGTCCAAAGTGTTTTGTTTGGAATTCAGGCTTTCTGGGCACAATTATTCATTCTTCCAACAAAAGTGACCAAGATTGTAGAGGGGCTATGCAGATCTTATATTTGGTCTGGTTTCTTGCTTGGGATAAAGTATGCTTGCCAAAGGCAGGAGGTGGACTAAATATTGTTAACCTGAAGCTATGGAACAAAGCAGCCATTGCCAAACACTACTGGGATTTAGCTCACAAGCAAGATAAGCTGTGGATCCGCTGGATTCATACTTACTACATCAAGAACCAACATATGAGTACAATGCCAACACCCCAGCAAGCTTGTTGGATGGTTAGAAAAGTGATAGAGGCACATGAAATTCTGGAAACTAGACAGTTTATGCAAACTCACAACAGAAGCCTGATCAGACAAATATACCTATATCTACTTGGTGACTATAGCAGGGTGGAATGGAAAACATTAATATTCAATAATGCAGCAAGACCAAAGGCAAAATTCATAATGTGGCTGATGATGCATGGGAGATTGATGACTAGTGACAGGATAGCTAACTAGAAGATCAATGTTGACACACAATGTGTATTGTGCAGAAAGCAGTGGAAACAAGAGACCATATGTTTCGGCAGTGTGAATTTACTCAAAAAGTATGGATCAAAATGTGCAATTGGATGAAGAAGCAATTTTAGAGGTATAACAACTGGCAACAATTCAGCCAATGGTCAGTGATATGTGCCAAAGGGAAAACCCAACATGCTCAGGTCATTAGAATGGTTTATGCAGAAGTTTCTTATCACATTTGGATGGAGAGAAACATGCGTATATTTGAACAAAAAAGCAGAGTTTGGGAGCAGATTACAAAAGAGAGAGCTTTTGTTGTTAGTGTTAGAGTCACTCCTAGAAATAAGTCGTTTGTGTATAGATTATATTTCTAGGTAGTTGAGTATTCAATATAAATGGATAGATAGCAAGCTATGTTAGTTATGCTAAAGTTTTGTACTTACTACTTGGTGATTAATAAAATAAGTTAGTGACAAAAAAAAGAGATAAAACTTGTAGGCCAACTATAGAATAATTAAAATTTAAGAGGAAATTTCAAAAATCACTATTCTTTAGTGACTATTAACTTTTTATAGCTATCATATACATAATTACTTCATATAGCTACTATTCAGTTGTTACGGTAGTGTATTCGCTGTATTCGCGCTACTGTTTTCATGAATACAGCAGTAAAAATGCCTAAAATTAAGGCAGTCTAGTTGTATGTGCATGTATTCACATGTATTTGTGTTATGTATTCAGGAATACAGTAACGACAATCACCTTAAAATAGGTATGTCTAGCTGTCTAATAACAAAAATAATATCAATTAGCATGATACACTCCTAGTATAATTCAACAAAATCAATTCTAATATACCTCATTATCAACCCAATTAATTAGAATGATTTTTCAGTTGTATATAACTGTTGTATTTAACTTTTGTATTTAGTATATTTCAATTTTTGTTACCGTTTCATTCATTAGATTCAATGTTTGTATTTATTGTATTCATTATTTTATATTCAGCGTATTCAAATGTATTTGTATTAACAGTATTTTAGCTATTCTTAATACATGTTATTACTGTTGTATTCAATATATTTCATTGGTTGTATTCACTGTATTTATATTTGTATTCAGTGTATTTTATTGTATTTCACTATATTAATTTTAAAATTAAATATATTCACTGTTTATATTACGTTCTATTTTAATGTTTATATTCAATGTATTTCAATGTTTATATCATGTATTCATGCATATTATATGTACAATATGTATGAATACAGGCGTATTCAGTTGTATTAAAAAAATTACAGATCTTCAAAACATAAATACAGGACAACAACAACAACAACAACGTCTCAGTATAATCCCACAAGTGGGGTCTGGGGAGGGTTATATATATTCAAACCTTACCCCTACCCCGAGAGGTAGAGAGGCTATTTCTAGGAGACCCTCGGCTCAAGAAAGCAACAAGAGACGATATATTAGTACCATCAATAAAATCATAATAAAATAACAGTAATATAAGAAATAGAAAATAGATGGAAAGTATAATAATAACCAACAGATAAAGCCCTGCATCAGTAGATGCCCACTAACATTCTAAAACTAACTCCTAACTGGCTAGTCTCACTCTGGTGCGCCGTAGAAATATTGACAGCTTCCCCCTAACCTACAACCTTAATGCTCGACCTCCACAATTCCCTGTCAAGGGTCATGTCCTCAATAATCCTAAGTCGCGACATGTCCGAACTGATCACCTCTCCTCAATACTTCTTAGGTCGCCCTCGCTCACACCTCCTCACCGGTGCATCAATGTTCCTCCTCTGAATGTGCCCGAATCATCTGAGTCCTGCTTCACGCATCTTGTCCTCCATGGGGTCCACGCCTACCTTCTCTCGAATATCTTCATAAATACAAGAATTTTTTTATATAAATACAATGTGTTTGAGTGAATTTGTATAGAATACAATGTATTTGTATCATTGTATGTGACTATATAAGCAAAGATGTAACGACTCGATCAGTCGTTTTGAGAAATTAAGCTCTGTTCAGCGGCATAAGGTTTGGAACAACTTCATATTATGAGTATCGACTTGCGTGCATGGTGGAATTCGGCCTTCGGATGGTTTAGAGTCAAATTTAGAGAAGAAACCTTGTTTAGGAAGTTAGAACAGTGAAAAGTTGACCGGAATTGGACTTTTAGGTAAACGACCCCGGAATGGGTCGTGGATGATCTCAACAGCTTCGTATGGTGATTTTGGACTTAGGCGCGCGTCCGTATTCAGATTTGGAGGTCCGTAGAGTGAATTGAGGTATTTCGGCGAAAGTTGAAGTTGGAAAATGAAAAAGTTTGACTCACAATTGACTTTTGGGATATCGGGGTCGAAATGCGATTCCGAGAGTTGGAGCAGCTCCGTTATATTATTTTGGACTTGTCTGCAAAATTTGGCGTCATTCCGAGTTGAATTGATAGGTTTCGGCATGAGATTCGTCATTTAAAGATTTGGAAGTTCTTAAGCTTGATTTTTGGTTTGATTCGTCGTTTCGATGTTGTGTTATGTGATTTAGAACTTCGGACGAGTCCGTGTTAGGTTATATGACTTGTGTGTGTAATTAGACGGTGTCCCGGGGGCCTCGGGTGGGCTTCGGATGGGCTACGGATCCTTTTTCCGCCTTTTTGAACAATTAATCTGCTATCTGGTATTTCCTTCTATGCGATCGCATTGCTTGTCCCGCGATCGCATAGCACAAAGTTTGGGCAGCATCAATTCCTTCTATGCGATTGCATCATCACCTCCGTGATTGCATAGTGTATTCCAGACTGGTTCTAATTCCTTTTATGCGATCGCATAGCCTTGTTCGCGATCGCATAGTTATGTTCCCTCCTCTTCTGTGATCGCATGACCCCATATGCGTTCGCATAGGCTTTCTTTTTCTGGCCTTCCAATTTTACTCTATGCGATCGCATTCCTTCTCTTGCGATCGCATAGAACAAAATGTCTGGGCAGACAGATTTAATCCCAAATTCGAGGGTTTCACCATTTTATCATATTTTGAC